AAAAAAACTAATGTGACAAGACAGACCAACTAAATTTATAAAACGGAAACATCAATATATGTTCAAACCTTTCTATGTTTGCGTTTAGAAAAAGTAAAAAGTCGAGCGTTGCCCCCGCCCGGCGGTGGCTCTTGTTTTGTTTTGTTTTTATTAAAGCTGTACTATAAATATTTAGAACCAATTGTCAATTAATATTTTGCTGAAGATTTATGTAAGACTTTACAACTTATAGAATATTACAGGTAAGATCCACAGGAGAGTGACATTCACAAAACACAGTTCTTTATAATAAGATTGTTCTGTCAGATTTTTTGCGAAACATGTGAATGAAATATGAAATTCTTTATCATATTACAATATACAAAATTTAGAGACTTTCATGGTGTGATTTATGATCACAGTCTTCATCGATTAATATACATGTACTTCATATACCTATATTTTTAAGACTTAGGTAAATTAATTGGCAAACTACACACCATGAACAGCAACAAAGCTGTTGCAGCCTGTAGTTTGACATTTCCACTAAGTGATGCCATCCCATAACTCAACAAATTGCAACAATGCTGCCATCAGCTTTTGCCTCTCAATAAAAAGGTATATAAAGACTAGTGTAAAAATGCAGGTCTGAGGTATGAAACTGGTGATCAAGACACTTTCACTGCCCATATTTTGTTTGCCAGTCATCTGTTTATTGTCTTGAGTCAACTTAGTAAACATCTGTAGTTACACAAAGCAGTATTTCAGATTTATGTATTGTATGTCAGTAAATTATATTTCTCTACTTGTATGATAATTGTATGTCAGTTAATGATATTTCTCTACCTGTATGATAATTATATGTTCAGGAGGAAAAGGCAGAGCTTGATGAGATTCTTGCAAAACGAGCAAAAACTGGGAAACAAGTGGAGGAGAAGTCAGCTGAGGAGAAAACAACATTACACAGTTAGTATTAATACACTTGTTACTATATATAGTAACAAATTGCCTAGGATTTTAACTGATTATGTTTGTCATATGACCAATAATGAGTTTGTGGCCTGGGACTCATAATCGTAATCGGCCTGCTGAACATGATGAGCATATGCAAAAACTGAAACAATGATGTCACATTTTATGTTATTAAAACAGCTAACTATAACGTGAAAGAAGATTTTTTGATCGCTAGATTTCATGATTAGAATGTAAGCATATTTGAACAAACACAGTTTTTGGCATTTAAAGAAAAAAAGTATGCTAATTTTATTCCAAGAAAATAAAACTTGCTTCTTGATTGTAGTGGACTAAGTATACAAGTAAGGGAAGCCACTTTACTTACATTTCAGTACAGAGACAGGAATATCAATTTGACAGAAATAAATTGAGCGGCGCCATGACAAAACCAACATAATGGGTTTGCGACCAGCATGGATCCAGACCAGCCTGTGCATCCGGGCAGTCTGTTCAGCATCCATGCTGTTCGCTATCAGTTTCTCTACTTGTTATAGGGTTTGTAAGTGAACAGCATGGATCCTGATCAGACTGTGTGGATGCGCAGGCTGGTCTGGATCCATGCTGGTTGCTAACCCATTATGTTGGTTTTGTCATTATGCGGCTCAATTGTGTATTTAAGACATAAATACATGTCATAGACGGACCAGAAAGTGATAATCAACCCTGAAATGAATAATGCTCTTAGGCTAAAGCTCTTGGTGTCCATTTTGCACTGATTATTACTTTCCAGCCACACTCTGCTGTGTAGTAAACTCTTAATTTTCTAAAAATGTAAATGTTTATCATAGCAACAATGTCTTAAATTGTTACTTTAATTTATAGTGTTTTGTTAAAGACTTTATTAATTTTGTACAATTACTAAGCAGGTACGCTGAAGTAATTCTCCTTAGATTAAAGTCTACCAATATCATTAAATGTGGACATGAGCCATAGGGCATAAACATTTATAATTATTGGTAACTGTAAAATCAGAAGAAAAAAGCTGAAATTTTTTGTTTAAATTAAAACTTTTAGTCTAGACATATTTCTTCTTTTTTCAGTCAAAGATGCATATGATTACCAAGGACGTTCATTTTTACACATACCTCAAGATGTTGGAGTTAATCTCAAGTCTGAGTACCCACCAGAAAAATGTTTTATACCAAAAAAACTCATACATACCTGGGCTGGACATACAAAAGGTGTTGCACAGATCAGATGGTTTCCTAAGTCAGCACATTTATTATTATCAGCCAGTATGGACAGCAAAATAAAGGTAATTTCTTGCTGTATGACCTGTGTGAATGCTGTAGAATTAATCTAAACCTTATTCCTGCTGGAACCAGAGTGATCAGAATTTGCCAACAGTATAGAGCCAGGCCAGCCTACAAATCCATGCAGTCTGACCAGGTCCTACACCCACACCCCCACCCCACCCCCAAAAGAAAAAAGAAAAGAAAAGTTTTCATTGTGATATTATAGATAGGGGACAGTTCAAAAAAGGTAACTTCCCCCCCCCCCCCCCAAAAAAAAAAAAAATTTAAAAAAAATCTTGATATTATATAGATAGTGGACAGTTTCAAAAAAGCTGACTAGGGGCGTCCGTGGCCGAGTGGTAAAGGTCGTTGACTTCAAACCACTTGCCCCTCACCGCTGTGGGTTCGAATCCCGACATGGACTTTGGATTCTTTCATGTGAGGAAGCTATCCAGCTAGCTTACGGAACGTCGGTGGTTCTACTCAGGTGCCCGTTTGTGCCTGAAATAATGCACGGAAGGGCACCTGAGGTCTTCCTCCACCAGTAAAGCTGGAACGTCGCGATATGACCTATACTGTGTTGATGTGACGTAAAACCCAAAACAAACAAACAAAAAAGCTGACTAAGTTTTCATATTGATATAAAATATTCTCAAAAATGGAAGCTAGACAAGTCGTTAAAGAAATTTAGCAGGTCAATGGTTACCTCTTGACATGAAAACTACAATACAACTTAAACAGAGCAATATTCTTTGAGAGACAATGATTCTGGTTCTTGTTGAGAGGTGTTGCTCAATATAATTTAGATTTATTGTGAAGTCTAACTTTCGGAAAAGTTGATACAATTTTTGTAAAGAAGGTAAATTGTATATATTCAAGCTGTTGTATAGAATGAAGCTCTGCAAAGTTTACGCTGTAATAATTGGTAAATGCATAATTATACAACAACAGTGTAATGTATTGTTACCAGTCTGTAAAAATTTGTGTCACCTTATCAACTAATATGTATCTCAAATTAGAAATTTACTTTTCAGTGTCTCAAGTAAATATTTTGGTGGTAAAATTGGGGTACAGATCCACCATTGTCATATATGATAAAGGTCAAATCTATATGAGTTTGTAACAGAGACTGAATAATGTATGATATGTTCTCGTTTCAAGAACTTAAAAGAATATTTCTCATGCTTGGAGGCTTTAACCTCTTGTCTGCTTGGACCAAAAGTGACTTGACTTTGCCTCCTTGAAGTCTGACGAGGCTCTATACCGTCGATGGATTAACTTTAGTATTTTGTCACTTAAATAATGAGGATGAAATTATGGGTTTTATGTATTTAATTGTACTTTTTAGATCTGGGAGGTATATAATGATAGACGATGTGTGAGAACTTACCTGGGTCACAAACAGGCTGTGAGAGATATCAATTTCAACAACAGTGGTACAGAGTTTCTCAGCTGTGGTTATGACAGATATTGTAAATTGTGGGACACTGAAACAGGTAGCTGACTGAAATGATTTTAAATTAAGTGTTGCAATATTTCAGAACTTTGTATATAATTTCTATTACATAAATGTCATTTTCTCTAATTTGATATGTTATATGTTGTGTTATCTTGTTGCGAAAGAACTGTCAATTCATACAACATCAATGAAGAGTAAAATTGTCTTGGGCATTTTTTTATATCTGAAGTCCAATTCTTTTACTGAAACAAGATACTTAAAATTTTGTGGGTTAAACAGCCTGTCCAATAAACTGCTCAGGGACACATTTCATAGAATTTCCTAAGTTTAAAATCAGTCAAAAGAACAAATCAGAGGCAGTTTTGTGTTTCAATGAAAATAATCTTACTTATGACTCTATCTTATGACGTCATCAAATGCTGAATAGCAATGCTGAACGAACATAAACATATTGTAGGTTGAAACATGTGCTATGTATTTATTAACTTTTCCTTGAGAACAAATTTAATGGTAGTCTGATGTCTTCAACTAAAGATAGTAATGTTTATTGCAACAGTCTTAAGATAGTCCTAAAGTTGGTCTTATGTCCAAGGACTTAGTATACACTTAGGGCTTTCTGTGAAACACAGTCCAGGTGCCCACCGTAAGCTTGAAATACTGCATAAAGGTTCACACATGGTCTTCTAATACAGCTGCAAAGTTGCCATATGACTGTTATATGGTGTCACTTAAAATCAACTTATTGATTGAAGTGGTAAATAATAGAAACATAGCATAATCTATTTAACTTGATTATGATAAGAAGAATGATTATTGATTTAATGATATATTTAACTTTCTAGGAGAGTGTAAAGGAAGATTTACAAGTAGAAAAGTTGCATATTGTGTAAAATTTCACCCTGAAGAGGATAAACAACACTTGTTTGTGGCTGGTACCTCAGACAAGAAAATTATTTGTGTAAGTACCCCATTAATTGTTATTAGATCTGTATAGTTACTGTAGTAGCAGCATAGTAATAGATCATTAGAACTACTTTAGATAGACTGCCTGGCCTAGCAGATGTTTTCATTGCAATTTGATTTACCATATTCATACTTTTAAGGTTGATGATACTTATTAAAGCTACTAACTCACACATACAGTATAAAATTAGTTTTAAGACTTAGTTTTACAGAAGTGCCAAATCTTTAATAGGCTTATTTTTTTTTTTCGGAAGCAAGAAACATGTTAACATCTAGTTCCATGTCATTATTTAAATCTGTGTGGTAAGCTATGTTGTGTCTCTGTTTTTATTTCCAAAACCATGTAGATTTGATACAATTGGTACTTGGTCTTAGTGTCATATGAGAAAATATAGTAGTGACTAAAAGTAGGGCTAAGACCCACACCTGAAATCACAAAAACCCTTAAATTCATTTAGTTAATGTTTTGAATTTGATATAAATTGCCTGAGTATTTGTTTAATATCTATTAACTAATAAATATAATAACTATTTTTGGTTTTGACTCTTTATTGCTCAGCTTTGGGGAGGTACATATAGGTTTGCCGGACTGACAAAACAGTGGAATATTGGGGCATCTGTGACTAATATGTTTCTGGTTTAATTAATATTTCTATTAATGAGTGGAATGGAAACTATACGCCAATTATCTACCTATTATTGAGCATTTTTCTTACAATAAAAATTGTCATTTTAATTTATGATAGATATATATATTAAAAAACTTATATATATATATTTTCAGTGGGATATTCGGTCAGGGGAAACAGTTCAAGAATACGACAGACATCTTGGTGCAGTAAACTCTATAACATTTGTTGATCAAAATAGAAGATTTGTCTCAACTTCTGATGATAAAAGTTTAAGAGTTTGGGAATGGTAAACATTAAATCTCATTTAATCTGTAAAATTCAAATTAACTTTATTTATCCTCTACATTTCGGAGCATTTATTACCTCTTTTAAGCACTACAGTAATAATGAGTTCCCTTTGCCAACCAGTATAGAACCAGACCATTCTATGTACTGTAGGCTTTACTATTTTAATTGTGGAATCCCTTAAACTTAAAATAAACTATGTCTTATTAAAGAACAATTCCATTACATGTATACTAAAGTAGTGGAGGTTATGAGAAAATTACTTTTCTTGTATCAGTAGTGTGCCAAAATTACCAAATGATTAATATGACTATGTGAAACGCTACTACCTTCATTATTAAAGGAACTCCACTGAGCTCCAAAATCTAAGAGATAGTTTAGAAACACACCCAGAAATAAATTGAAAATCATATTTTGTGCTTTTCTTAGCAAGATTTAAGTGAAAAGCATTGCAGCATTTTTCAATTTCGGGTAAGTAAGAATAAATATTTTAGCAGATGATCTGATATTTTGTACACAAGTTATTGGTCTAGACCTTCATCAAAGGGAACATTTATATTAAAAAATTATTTCCAGTCTCATAATGTCAAAAACCCTCTGTGGTGTCCCTTTAATTCCTTGGAAATGATAATCAAGGTTAATAAAAGTTATATTGAAATGATTGTTATTATTTTCAGGGATGTTCCGGTAGATTTTAAATATATTGCTGATCCTTCTATGCATTCTATGCCATCTACGACTTTATCACCAAATGGTTAGTACTCTAAGTTATACACAATTTATTTCAGTTTAGTTAAATTGGAAGTTGTAAGCTTATAGACACACTATTTACATAGAAAATATTAACTTGTGAGAACTATTGCAAAAATTCATTCAGTTATTCATAGTATATTTCTTTTAAATTTTAAACAGTAAAAACAAGTACAAGTAGTTCTCTTTTCTTCTTCTAATACACTCTTGAAGAAGAAGATTTATAGTGTTTTTGCACATGTCAGTTGGTCCATCCATAAACCAGACCTTGTTCTATTGTTTGAGAAGCTTTCGGTTTACAATACTCATATTAGGGTGGTTGTTCATGATAGGTTGATAACGAGGTCAAAGTCATGGTGACCCTCACCACAAAAGCTTGCTTACTGATTTCAAATGTAGCGGAATTATTTGTAACATGACTAACTGGTTGTCATTAGATACCATTAGAGGGGCAAACTGCTTACAAATATTTCTGGTAATTTTAAGATAAGTGAATGCAAACAAAAAGTAAAATTGTACATATATCTCGGGATTATTTGTAGCTACATCAACTTGGATTAATAATGTTTGAGCTATGTCATGACAAAACCAACATAATGGGTTTGCGACCAGCATGGATCCAGACCAGCCTGTCCATCCGCGCAGTCTGATCAGGATCCATGCTGTTCGCTATCAGTTTCTCTACTTGTTATAGGGTTTGTAAGCGAACAGCATGGATCCTGATCAGACTGCGCGGATGCGCAGGCTGGTCAGGATCCATGCTGGTCGCAAACTCATTATGTTGGTTTTGTCGTGACGCGGCTCGTTTAATTATTTACATGTTGTTGTTTCACGGGTAAATGGTTAGCTTGTCAATCATGGACAATAAGATCTGCTGTTGTTCAACGTTTTTAACAGATTTAAATACCATGAGGAAGAAAACATTTACTGGTCATATGGTGAGTGGTTTTATGGCACAAATATTTCAGCCAGATAATGTTTAAACAAAATGTGATCTTTATTTATATTTTATATAATTAAAATGTGTTTCTTCTTTCAATAATGCAAGACTCTTACATTAGCCAAGGGCAAGGCTATTGTTTTCCTAAAATATTTTCATTTCTGTAAAGCATTTTAATCATCAGGATAATTTCTCCCTTTCATAGAGCCAGAAAGTTATCATATAGCTGAGTCAATTTTAATTCCAGAGACAACAAAAAGAAGAAAACCACAACAAAGTTTATGTATTAACATGTTTTTGACATGGGTAGCTTTTTCCACCTTATTCGAATGTGCAACTATATGTTTAGCAATTAACTGAAGTAAGTGTTAAGTTATTAACAACTCTGTGTGTAATATTTCAAGGTTGCTGGTTATGCTTGTGGTGTTGATTTCTCACCCGAAATGACGTAAGTGGAAGTTTTTAAACAATTTCTTATTTTTTAATTAAACAATCATCATTTCACTTTCTATTTTTGTACCTTTTATTCTATATGTAGATTTTGCTATTTTAAATGGAGTTTTTGCCCATTATGTACCTTTAAATATAAAATAAGTTTTATTTTTTTTCCTTGACAACCCCCAAGATAGAATTGAATTAAGTTTTGCTGGATAGATAAGTAGAAAGTGTTGTTGTGTATACATGTATATAAATTAAACATATAATATCTTGTACTGATGATGGTTCATGGTTTTACCTAAGTAGCAAATTGCATGAGACATGCGTTTCACTTGTAAATTTTCAGGACAATTTCTGACTTCAAATAATCACATATTTAGCTAAGGAAACATGTATTATACATTTTATTTTATTTTCAGATACTTGATATCAGGGGATGCTGATGGAAAATTATATATCTGGGACTGGAAAAGTACAAAATTGTATTCCAAGTTTAAAGCCCATGATGATGTTTGTATTCAGGCAATATGGCATCCCCACGAGACATCTAAAGTAGCTACTGCTGGGTGGGATGGTGTTATAAAATACTGGGACTGAGATATTGACCTAGATAATGTACAAATACACCTCACCATTGTCAATGATGTTTTAACGGGCAGCATGAAGAATATGAGCAAAGTTTACAATGTTATACCATCACACTTGTACAATGAAAGTGCAGAAAAGTGAGAAAACTTGTACAGACATCGGGTTATACTTGCACAAGTTAATAGAGAGCTGAACAATAACAAAATCTATGCTGTTATCTTTAAAGCTTCTTCTATTATACGTGGTATGTTAAAGCTAACCCATGATAGATTACCGGTTCCATACATTTGTATATACTCACCTGACATCATGTTTAATGAAGTTTATAAACAAACTTTGTTACAATTAAATAAATGTTCAAGTACTTAATTGGGTTGAGTGTATGATTTTACTGTAATTGGTACAAGCCATATACAACTATATTGTAAAACATTCACGAACACTTTGTAGTATGATGCAAATTGAGAAAATATTTCTATGGTTTTAATAATAATACTTGTTTAAAACAAACCCAAGTAAGTACATAAATAATGTAAATGTTATTTCTTTATAAACGTTTTGCTATCAAATGTGTCAAAAATACAATTTAAGTTGTTTGTTCTTCAAACAAACTGAGATTTAAGATTGAAATTTTTATTTTTTAAATTAAAGAAAATAAAATGAAACTACAGAAAGCAATTACATATTCATCTTATCATTAACTACCTTCCCCATGTAATTGGAATTACTGTTGAGTATTAACCCTTACTAGAATTTAAGTAGATTGCTCATTTTTGGCAAGTTCAATATCTTTCACCTACCTGCTACAGGACACATTAAGAAATGTTGCACATCGCATTAAAACAGAGTCTGTTATTTTCAACTATTTTTGTTTTGTTTTCATTACTTTTAAGGGATCCTTGTCAATGTCTGGATGACCATGACCCGACCCCCCCCCCCTGAGTTTTGTTCTTATAAGGGGGCACAAATGTACAAAACATATTACATATTATCTTGTTTGGAAAGTTATTTCTACAGGAAAGATTTTATTTTCTAAAAAATGGTTGTCAAAATTATTAACTAAATGATAGAGCATTAGTCAGGCTTAAAAAAATAACAACAAAAGTACAGAGTATTATCCTTTACCATGATCCAGCAGTGAAAAATATATCAATTGGCACAATACAAAATATAAAAGCATGATATGATATAAAACCAGAATGATGATATGGCACATTTAATATTTATTTCATGCTTTCCGGTGTTTTATTGTAATATATCAGATGATTATATTCTGATAAACCACTAGTGAAATTTATAAAATATAATTTTCACTGTAGCCGGACTATATCTGAATGCGGATGAAAAGAAAATCATAACTAAATTGAATAACAGGCAGAAATAAATGCCATCATGCGTAAATTTTGCTTCTATAGGAAAAGAAAGTCGATGTCATCATACATAATGTTAAAAAATGTAACAAAATTAGAGAAATGTAACAGACCTATATTTCAAAATTGATAATGTGACGTCATGATGTGATGACGTCACAAGGGAGAATGCGCGACGTTACGCGGCAAAATTAGTAAAAACATACATAAAATCACTAAAAAGCATGAAATAAAAAGAAAATTTATTTGTTTTACGTATAAGATTGAAATATATTTCATTCGTGAACACCAGCTGTAATATTTTCACTCGTGGCAACGCCACTCGTGAAAATATTGCATCTGGTGTTCACTCAGTGAAATTATATTTCAATCTTACATGCAAAACAAACAAATATCCTCTATATATTAGTAAAGGCTTACAGAGTCGTATTCAAAGACACAAACTACAGTAACAATAGCAATAATGTTGTGTTTAAATTTTGGTCCCTACAGTAACATGATGTTGGAATGTGAAGGGAAAGTGTGACAGAAATTATGTATGAATCATTGCAGATTGCCGACATCAGCTGAAAATGTGACTGTACAAATAAAAACAAAAACATTCTAATTGATATCCCCTTTGAAATGAAACAGAAATTTCATTGAATAAACTGATAGATAGAATCATCAAATAAATAATGTGTCATGATAAAGAACAGCTACATTAAGTATCTCAATAGTTGTAACATAAGGCTATAGTTGAATGTAAAATAAACTGAAGGTAATATATCGTAACTGACTACAAGTCTCTACCACTTATTACAGCCTTACTTCTGAATTTACCTTTTCTTGACATGGTTGAGTGTCCACCTACCAATCCAGAAGTTTAGAGTTCAATCCACAGTCAGTGCTTGAGGATTTTAAGGTTTACATTTTATCATAAAATAGATAATAAAATTTTATATGCAGACAGCAGTATTATGCATGCTTAAACAACATGCTTTTTTTAAAAAAATGTGATTATTTGCCTGAAGAGTTTCACAAAAATTATCAATTAAATGGGGCCTTATACTTCACATAATTGAAATAAGAAGAGAAATGCTCAATTCAACATTGTTGTAACTATGAATAAACCTGATTCAGCATACATGTCTAATACAACTGGCCAATACTGCATTTCCAGCTGGATTTAGTGACTCAAAACTGGATTTTTAACGACTCAAATTTCAACACGTATTCAGGCACATTTGGTTTAAAGAACTGATATTACCCTCAAAATGAAAAATATTCGCATTTGGTAAAAGAACCCATAATACCCTCAATATGACGAGCGGTTTTTTTTATATCTAACTCATGATCAATATTATTTTACAAAACAAAAAAAGAACATTCTCATATAGACTATGTGTTATATGATGCCTTTGTGTTATATGTTTATAAGTCAATCTAGAACAGTCACATTTCATCATTTTCAGTTTGCATATATTTAGAACAACAGTCTAATGTCTTTTCATACATTCATACATTCAATAAATCAAAACATATGAGGAAACAGTGCATGTATGGGCACTTTTCAGCCACGGTCAACAATGTGACATGATAAAAAGTGCTTGAAGAGTCATTTCTGCTGTATTATAATTAAAGCTTTTTGAAAACTTGCTAGAAAAACTATGACCATAAGACAGTAATTTTGCTTTAACTGCATTTAAATGCCAGAAGAGTAAAAAATATGATAAACAAGATCAACAAGGAAAGGCGGCGTTCAATAAGACTATAATTTCTTTTTCTAAACAAATGCAAGAAATTTTCCATTAATTAAATGAATAGATATAATTCCTAAACAATTGTATAATTCTTCAACGAAAAAATGAAAATTACCGAAAAAAAAATAACACATGCTTTTGTTGCAGGTTTGTTTTAGATGATCCTGTTTGAATGATTTGGCTGACCTTTAATCTTTATCAGTGCAGCACTAATCAATGAAAACCAACATCAGCACTTTAATATATGCGCCAATTCACACACGTAAATTCACATGGTCATTGTGACGTAGCATGTACTTTCTACTGAATCACAGCGTGTTAACTGTAAACCTTTTTAGAAGTGACGGACCAAAATAACTTGGAATAGTATGTTAACACGATTACATGGAGTAAATCCCCAAGTATTTGTCTCGTGTAACTGTTTATCATGTCACTTTGCTGTCAATAAACAACACAAATTAAGGTAGTCATACTGCAATGCTTATGCGCTAAAAAATTCTTACATTGGCCAATATCGTAATAAATCGGCCATTTCCGAAATGTTATTTTCACAATCGTCGGTATTCAATAATTTTAATTGTTTATAACGGAAATTTAGTACATAGCGATAAAGGATGAGTGATTGTAAATAATGTAATGCCAAAGATTAAAAAAAATATAATGTTCAGGAAATAACCGATTTGCTATGATATTGGCCGATGTTAGAATTTTTTGGCGGGAAAGCATAACAGTAAGACTTACCTTAAATCAGCTTTCAAATGCATGGTTTACATTTTATATAAAGGTGCTGTGTTTGATTTTTTATGCTGACATTTTTTTTTTTACCAAGATGAATATCTGAGGAATTCAATCTCTTAATATCAGGATCAGGGTTGAAATATCTGGATCTTTTTTAGTCCTGCCAGGATATCACATGTATATGTAAAATAACATAAACAACCAAGAAAACAGTTCCAAGGAAGTGCTATGTCACTGTTTAAAACATATGAACCAATAACCAGGGTAAACATTAAATGCTGTTCACAAGGTTTCACTATGAAATCATTTATATTCGTGGGGGATTAATTTTCGTGGTTCAGGTAACCCACGAAATCAAGTCCTGACGAACAAATTGTGCCCAAGATAATGTTAAGTAACAAAAACAGCACCAAAAATGGTCGTAGTGATGCGAAGTTGGTACATCGTCTGTAGACAAACTGTGTGCTTACCTACAATTTTCTTGTACATCATTGAATCAAAGATAAACATAGATGTGAATCGGATACTAAACCGACTTAGAACTTTTATCAACTGTTATAAATCTTCTGTTGTTTGGTCAGGTGGAAACACATGAACTTGCACGTGTCAACAATTTCATAGCACAAATTTGGGATATTATTTGTATGGTTTTATCGAATTTTGAAATCAACGAATTTTCGGCCCCACATATATTTTTTTCTTTTAACCTTGAAATTGAAATCCACAAATTAAAGACCCCACGAAATTGCTTTTTGCCGGGAAACCACGAAAATTTATGCCCTCGAATTAAAAATGATTTCACAGAATTCAGGGATTGTCATTATTAACACAAAACCATAATAATATACACAAGTGCTTGTCAATGAAAAATACAAAACTTTTAGGCTAAGAAAGAAAAAACGAGTAATTTTATAAAAAAATTCTGTTTACAAACCAATATAACAGAACAAATATAATATAAGCAATGAGCGATAAAGTGATGTAGCATCTTGTAATATTTAATAATACAAGATTTATATTGTTCCAGTCTAATGTCATGAGTATGTCACAGGAATGTGATATATAGGACCTGTATAAAATGACCTGTATAAATCTCTTACGGTGTTATCAAAATTAACAAATAAAGACATTAATAGAAACATACATGTATATGTAAATAAGTTCACAACTTCAGAAAAAACAACACTTCACAACTTAGTAAATACAACAGTTTACAACTGAATAAAAACAACAGTTTACAACTTAATAAAAATAGCAGTTTACAACTAAAACGAAAACAATAGTTATTACTTTATAAAAAACTACAATTTACAAATTATAAAAAAACAAAAGGTTACCACTAAAAGAAAACAAAAGTTATATCTTTATAAAAACTACAGTTTACAACAAAAGGAAAACAATTATTATTACTTTATATAAACAACAGCTTACATTAATTAGTAAAAACAAAAGTTTACAACTAGAAAAAAACAATAGTTATTACTTTATAAAAAAAACACTCCAGTTTACTACTTAAGGAAAACAATAATTATCACTTTATAAAAACTACAGTTTACAGGTTGTTTTGAAAATTAAAAAAAAATCACTGCATAAAGATTATTCCACTATGCATGAATGAAAAATAAGATAAATTTTATACTGTTTTGTAGAAAACAACTGAGATTCTATAACATTATTTGAGCTGCGTCATGACAAAACCAACATAGTGCGTTTGCGACCAGCATGGATCCAGACCAGCCTGCGCATCCACGCAGTCTGATCAGGATCCATGCTGTTTGCTATTAGTTTCTCTACTTGTAGTAGGGTAAGTAAGCGAACAGCATGGATT